TCTCCCAACGGCAGTAGGCCAATCTTCTGACGCCACTAACGAGCCGATCGGAGATATAAGAGTAGTTATGGAACCTTCTTTGCCTTGCCCAATGCTCCTCCGTTTTTTATTCCCGCTTTTCGCATCGTTTCCACACAAAGGTTGTACGCAGATATTGCATTCAACCTCACTTTGGGTAACATCATTAGCCAATAAACACAGAAAGTGTACTGATACTATAAGCAGGATACCCAGGTCAAAAATACAAGACAGGATCGTGTTCACGCTGCAGATGCGGCGATACAGCAAGTAGCATATCGGCTAGATTCCGATGGCTCCGTGCCAGGTTTACCCAGTAGGTGTTGTATTCTACCTCCGATGCTACTCCTCAACGATGAACAATTTTGCTCTTCATAGTTGACCCCATGTCAAACTTCTACGAAGTTCTTTCAAACTACAATATTGAAACCAAGCAGCAGTTCCTGCATGAGAGCTTCATGAACTGGAATCCAACTACCAACATCATTGTCGGCTCTCTGATGCAAACTCACATGTGAATTTAGTCATTCCTCCTTCGTCATTTCATTGACACAATTAGACAAATGGGATACAGTTTGGCTCGGGCATATCTTGCCTTTACGGGCGTTGATCACCTTCTTGACACTGCGAAAGGTATTTGGGATGCTGTAAATCAGTACACCATTTCCGAAAGTGATATCAACATCGGGAACATGTCCACAAAAAATTTTCGTATAATCCGACCCTGCGGTAACATAATAATAGCAGGGGCAACTTTTCAGGTTGGTTGAGAGGATGGCATCCTTTACCGCCATTTTTGCTCACGCCGTTCCAGAACAGTTCGCGAGATGATACCCTTCTTAGCTTGGATGTCACTGCGTGCGTCACTTATTTTCGGTGTCAGCGAATGGCTCTAATTTCACCCCGTTAGTTTATTTTTCCTGTAGGTCTACAGCGATATAGCTACATCTTCAACCTGACCAACTTCGACCAAAGGTTTTCAGCCACGCTAGCTAGTTTGGAAAACCCTCCAAATAACACTTATGTTTCGGCAGCAAGGAACTCATTCAATTTTCTGATGCAACCTTACCTCAACCCTCTCTTTCCTTCAGTATTGATCCAGCCCATTCTTTGTCAAAAAGTGCTTAAATTTCAGCAAACGTCAGGGAAATCCACCATTGGCCTTTTGATCGAGGGACTTTCCTTGCTAGCGTATTTACCAAGCGGTGTGGAGCCAGAGATTCAATCAATGTAAGTCACAATATTTGCACGCTTTTTTGTACTTCAACGGTGTTTAGGCTGCCGAAGTTGATAATGCAAGTACTGAACGAAACCACCAATGGATGGCCAAGCCCTGGAGGTATATTACCGGGAATCGGGCCGGACTTAGAGTACTGGATCACAGGACCCTTCACGACTACCTCATCTCAAAATCTCGATATAAGCTTACGCGATATTGCACTTACGAGAGGGATGGCAGTCGCATACAAGCTCGCTCGCTCCCTATCCTCAGATATGCGTGATGCGATTAAGGCCTTCCTTGGCGTACAGGTCAGTGTTCCCTTGCAAAACACGGAATTATTGCTTATCTGCTCAAAGTACAATGCGGTGCGCAAACGCGCGCTTTTAGCCAACGATATATATGATGGGACTTGGACGGAATCACACCCGTCTTCAACTTTTGATCTGTTGAACCAGTCTTCCGCGATTCAGGTCCTCGTTGATGGCATCTCTTTATTTGAAGATGAAACACCTAATGACTTTCCAACCCCCGCGCTCGCTGGCTCCATTGTCGGTGGCGTCCTTTTCGTTGCCATATCCGTCCTTGCCATCATTCTACTCCTCCGACGGCGGAACCTTCAACGTTCACTATCAGAGACGACATCCCATATTTCCTCCGACCCTTTCCAGTTCGATCCTCAGTACGAGATCGTACCTTTCCAATGGGAGTCTCAAACAAAGCTGCCTTTGGACACCACTCGTTCAAAGTCGAGAACGCAGAAAATACCAGAAGGCCCTGTAACACCGTCGGCGCCCATCATGGACGATGCACCTCAGACGGAGAAGCAACAGCACGAGGAGGTTCCTCCTCTGCCTGATGTACGCCCAATCGGCGACGAACATAACACTCCCAACAACTCGAATGTTGTCCCCATCGCCGATCATGCAACATCCGTGGTTCCTGTCATCCATGAACCATCGATCCCTGATATGATTCGTATGATATATCAGCAAATGTTGCAGCAGGATAACACCGAGTCTCCGCCGGATTATCGTAGTCAATCATGATGGCCTGTGTCCAGATATACATCTTGGAGTTTACAATGTTTACTATATGATATTCGCCTTTGTCTATGGCCGCGTAGACTAAGGATAGCAAATGTAATCTACTACCTCGGCGAAACAAACTGTGAAAAAGGAAAAGAGACCTGGAAACAGGTAAAAGAAGCTGTGAAGCTATCATGATGAGCTGTAGGGCGTGAGACATAACCTAATTCTCTGTCGCTACATCGTAGATGACTACGTCCGTCCTACCTCAACGGTCTTGGTGAGAAGCTAGGAATGCAGCGCAAAAATATAGTTTCCCGTGCGCTGCCAAAACGATCTCCGATATAGGGAATAGTTCGGATCCCACTGCTTCCTTCTGAATCATTCCCGATACCTTCATTTCTTCCTTCCATTCAATTCTTCTTGTACATGTGTGTCACCGGAGCTGTATCTCACCCTAGTCAGCTCAAAGTGATACTTCTTATCAGGATCGGGCAGCTGCGAAAGATCTCGGCTGATCGTGCAGGGTTCGGAACGCTCGCGAGTAACTGGAAGCGTCTGTTGGGAAATCAGAGATACTTTTTGGTAAAAGCAGAATACTGGAGTATGATTGAGAGGGTAAAGAGTAAAGGAAGTAATATGCATAATACTACAATTCGAGTCATGACTCGGATGAAAGAGGAAGAATCCAAAAATTCTAGTACACGAAACATGCCTGAGGAGAACGCGAGAACTTCGTTTCCAGAAGCGGAGGGGTGTCCGAGGTCCGTGACACTGGCACGTGTTGTGCACGGACCATCCTCATACAGACTATCTTCTGTCTGATTCAGGCTGTCATGATCCTGATTGTGCGCGTTCCTTCATCCTTTGTTGTTCTGCTTTCACTGATTCTTGTCTTTCCGGAAAGGCAAAGCATACAGCTGGTACTCTCGCCCACGCACGTCGCAAAGGCACCACTGCAAAAACTATTCGCTGGGGAGCACAGATCTGGATGAAGGTCCTTTTTTCGTGGAAGGGTGCGCTATCACATTGATTTCTGTTCAATCCTCTACTCATGAATGTGACTGAAAGATCCTTTCTGCCCAGCAAGATCATCGATACCCTAAACTCGTCGCCAACTCAATGTCCCTTCAACCTTGGAAACTCGCTTCCAACTCGCTTCGCCTTCCTGGATCTTTCTTTTCCTACCGGAGCCTGAGAAATGTTGCTATGCTGGGAGCTCGTATGAATCATGGTCTGGAGAATGTATCTCATGTAGGAAGAGATAGGTGAGCTTGAACCTCCTCCGTCTTGCCTTCCAGCGATGCAGGCTAATTCACCTTAGCCCTTCCTTGGTCGATCCCTACACCTACTGTTCCGCTTCTCTCATTCGATATCGACGTCTCCTATTTCGTTTATCCGCCGTGAAAGCCACATCCACCAGTGCCCCGCTCAACTGCCTCATAACACGAAACCCAGCACACTCTCCATTCCATGGACTCCAGAGCTGTTCCTAATCTGACCCAAGTTTAGCACGATCGTCTAGGAGGCCTGCAACCCGGACTTGTCTCCATCCATTTCTACACCGTCTACTCCGTTGCTTCGCTAGCTTCTCTCATCGCTCTCCGACGTACTAGTTCGTTCAGCCCACCGTACCTCTACACAAGCCAACTCCAGCTCACACCGCCGGTCCTACAACACAAAACCAGCATACTCCTCGCTTTATTCCGTGATACGTCGCAGTCTGAAGGGTAGTACCGGTAGTCCACAAGTAAAACATAGGTGCGTTTGTCCACTATACTTCCGTATCTCTGTCATTCACTGTATTTCAAAGACAAGGACCTACATCTTCTGATCCACGCCATCCCCAACACCTGTCAATTTCCTCTCAGTAGCTGGGATACGGTTCGCCCACCAGGTCCATCTACAGAAGATTCTACCCGACCCCTTCATGCTGTCGACGGCGTCGTCTACGGGGTACACAGGGGGGAGCGGGGATGGAAGCATGTGAATCCGTGGTGCACAAGGCGCTATAGCCAAGTGGTTACGGCGACAGATTAGAATGGTGCATCGATTTTAGATGAGCTTGCGAGTCTACAAAAGATTAATTGCATCAGTAGCAAGCTCTGCATGTTTCCGAAGCACTCACCGTCCCCGCGCCCCGCGCCGTAAGTGGGATATGCTCTCTCCACCGCCGAGGTCGCAAGTGAGAGAGCAGTGGTGAGTGCTGTCATCGTGTCAGCGTGATTTCGTCATACTCACGGCATTCTCCGCAGATCCGTTACACTGGCGACGGAGTGAGACACTCTCCTTGTCTCTTCTCACTACGTCGCCAGGTATGTCCCCAGTACTTTTTCCCTTGTCCCTTCTCATTGCGTCGCCAGAAGAACACTTCCATTATTCCTCACGATGTCGAATCGGAATGGGCCCCAACTGCCGAAGTTGCGGGCCTGGTTTATGCTAATACGGTGTGCGGCGAGCGATGATAAGCAATTGGAGATCCTCCAATGTTATCTGTTCCTCTTTGAGGGCGCAGGTTCGAATCCTGCTGGCGTCGATTCTCAAACTTGAACCACCCGTTCCTTTTTCCTTCCCGCTCTTTCCTGACTATACTTACCCCACCTGTATCCATACCCCTTCCCTTTTTACGGGTCTCCAATAAGCACGTACTGAGATGTAAAACATCAAAACATCTATAGAGGGAGCCTAAAAACGAGCGAATGCATCAAAAATTCTATGCTTTTGGAATTGTTATGTCCGACCTGCCTGGCTCGAACAGGCGACCCCAAGATAGACAGATATGAAGTCATTCCCATTACAGTCTTGTGCTCTTCCAGCTGAGCTAAGGTCGGCGATACCTTTTTGTCCCCGTTCCTCATCATACACCCTCTACAACATGATCCTGCGAGAAGAATGGAAGAAAAAGACGCTGGGAGCAGGATTTGAACCTACGCGGTGAAACACCAAGTGATGTTGAATTTTGAGGGAAGTGCGAATTCAAATCACTCGCCTTAACGACTCGGCCATCCCAGCTTTCTCTACGAAACTTCTTTATTGTATGGTATTGTGGTGCGGATGAGGGTGTAGGTACTGGGAAATTGGTTACCCACGGTGAAGGTTTCTGTCTTTTACGTTTACGTTCACGTTCATGTTCTTTACTAAAGGGAGGCGAGGAGTGACACGATATGGAGAGTGATAGAAGATAGAAGGGATCTGGATATTGGAAATGGTGAGCTATCTCTTGAAATGAATGTATGGCTCTCTGGTTTTCGTGCTTATCGATGGGATCTCAAGCATTCTCCAGCTTTCTACGACCATTATATCGGCGAATACATCACACAAGGGATGCCATTGGTAGGTTTTTATCTTGATGCTGAGGCACGAGACTCGCGGTCATTCAAAGAGTTTTCAAGGCTGACTACTAGGACTAGTGACTCTTGTCTCCGCTTCCTTCCAGTTCGGCTCGACTGCTATGTTCTTTGGCAAGTGACACGATAGAATAGAATAGGCCCAGTGATATCGCGGAACGGTGAGTGAACCTATCAAGTTGAAGTCCTGGCTGATTGTCGCATCGTCAGACATGATTTCACAGAATCAAACCTAGGCTTGGATCAAATTAATGTACCATACACGATGTGCCATTTCTAGCACGATATACAAAGAGGCGTAGAGTTTACCCACGATGAAATATTCTTCCTTCTTCGGCGTTCATGTCCTTTCTCTAATCTTGGTATAGTTGGTGACTCGCTGAAGCTCTTTTTGCGGTGCCATAATCAATCGGTTCTAGGCTTTGATACCGTTGATTTCGATGCTTGCTTAGCGCTCAGGTACGAGACACACGATCATCCCAACCAAAGAGTTTTCGAGACTGACTAGTCGTACAGTGTAACAACAGGGATATAAGTACATTTGGGCTTCGGGAATGGCGAGTGAGCCTCCGAGAATGAAATGAACGTATGATTCCGATATGCTTTCGGATAGTAGATTGACTGATTCTCCTTCATCAGGCTGCCTTTCGCAGTCATCATCGATCCTGCGCTTCGATCTCATTAACGGGCTATATGCCTCTGGCAAGACGACCAATGCCTGATACCGGATGTGCGTGTTCATGTTGATTCAATGTGCATATACATATATATGTACTCCAGGCCCCAAGTCCCTAGTCCGTGTGGTATGTACAGTGATGGGTATCCGTTTTCTATATACATTAATAATTGATAGACATAAGCATAAACATAAACATAAACATAACTCAAAATCGTCCATCAAAGCCCGAAGCCCAAGGTCCTAATAATATCGCGGAGGCGCCCTAGACGAAGACCTTTCCCTTTCCCTCCGACTCGACTTTTTCTCCTTCTTTGGCGGTAGAAGCTCACGGCCCGTATGCCAATCGTAAATCTTCGATCCAGTGTCACTATACGCGGACGACTCCTTCTCCCGAGTTTTTTTATGCCTCGACTTTGATCGACCTCGTTTACTGCTCTTATGCTCACGATTCTCCGCCTCGGATGTGTACCCGTTATACGCCACAGAACTAGAGCGTGGTCTTCTCGATGGTGGAAGTCTTTCTATTCCTTTCACGTCCTCGTCCTCGATCTTCAGCCACAGCTGGATAGTGGGTAGTAGACGAAGATGGATAATGTGTAGTAGAGCTCTTCCTCTCCCTTCTTCGCTCTGGCTCTGGATAGGCGTCTCTAGCCATCGATTGCGACCTGTGTGAAGTTTCGTGGCCCGGATAAGGCGGCGGCGGAGCGGAGGTGTACGCGGTCTTCTACGCGCAAGCCGCATTTCCTCGATCGTAGGATGATAAACTTCCGGGTTATAGTGTCTAACAGCCGGTTTGGAGATATACGTGTCGCTGAACATCCTCGGAAGTGGATCTCGATTGGTGTGAGTGCTAGGTACGTTTGGTCTGGTGTCGTAGGGGAAGTGATCTGCCGGTCTCGCAGTATTCAAGGTGTAGTTGGGTGTGTAGATGCCTCCTTGGGAATGTGAGAGTGTTCTGGGGCGAGGCTGGGTGTAGTTCTGGGTATTGTGAGGAAGTGGCCCTGGTGCGGCGATGTATTGGTGTCGTGTGGCGGGAGGAGGAATTGATCTCTCTCTGGCTGGGGCATGTACCGGTCTATATGCAGCAGGAACAGTGGCCTGTGGCCATGGATAACCGTTGTTCGGATTGGAAACACCTGCACCCGATTTCGGCCACGGAAACATCCTTGAATGGAACTGCCTCAGCTCCTCTCTCTCAAACGTCAGCCCCCATCCCAGACGTTTACACACATCACTCTCCGTTTGGTTCAGCTCCATCATAGAGAACCCCAATCTACCGCCCCTAGATACTTCTTCCCAGGATTTGTTGGGGTAAACGTCATCCAGGAGAAATTTGGCTGCGATTATGAGAGCGACTAGGAATAGTCGGTGATATTCACGTTCCAGTAAATGTTTTTTGGGACATGCGAGTCGATAACGTTGTATGAGGATAAGAGTAGGTGTGATCATTCCGTTTATGTCGTATTCTGTTCTTTGGAGAGCGTACGCCACATAGTTGCGTAAAGAAGGAAGGTTTGAGAATGTTAGGGGATAGCTGTTGTTGAATTGCGCGCTCATGAATTTTTCGCAGGCGATGCCGGCTTCGATTGATGTGGGCTGAGAATGTTGTCTTGATGATCGAGAAGACGAGTGGATCCTGAGGAGATACGTACTATGTGCAGATGTTCATATTTTGAACCTTCCGAATCGACGTCCTCTGAGCTCATCCAATGTCGAGGGTGCAAGTCTTCTTGAGATTGCATGATTCTTGTGCTATGAAGGTGAGGCAATCAATGTCAGTTGTTTGCCTTCAAGTTTCAAGGAATAATCACTTACGAAAACTAGAATATTGTGGATGATCGTCAAGAAGAAGACTCGGAGGATAGCTGGAGATAAGGTACTAGCAGAGTGTCTTATATCGAGTTCATGTGTGTGGGCCACCGGTTAGAATGCAATGGTTCTAGCGCTACTGAATCTTTGTCTGTTACGACATCACGGCCTTGCTCATTGTCGAACGGACCAGGGTAGCTGTGGCAGGACCCACATAAGTGAGTGTGACTCCTGACACACCAAGCTGAGGAAACGATATCGAACGTTAGATGAAAGCAGATTGAGAATATATGGCACAGTCCCATATTGAATATATAGTTTTAGTCCCAAGATACCCAACAATGACTGACTAATTCTCAACGGAGATCCTACTGATGGCTCCGGTATATCCGCCGAGAACACGTGCACAGCCTCTCTGAAGGTTCCGAAGTCGCGCCACATTGAGCTGATGCTGTTTACTGTCAAAGCAGAGGGACCCACGATTCAAGTGGTGGCATTCGTGTCTCGAACATAGCTTCGTTAACATATTCTGGATAGCCATGGTGGGTGAAGTCAAAGATAGAGGTGGTGTAAATTTGGCAATAGAGCAGCAGCTAGGAGACGTAATCGTGAATCCGACTCACTGTTGCCATTTTGAGCAACCGGTGTAACGGCATTGAGTTTGATGAAGGGAATGGCCATCGATTCCTTTCGGCACGATTGTGAGAACTGAATCTAGTCATTCTGCCTTCCTTTCACAACTGTGACCTGTATAATCGGAGACCACTCGATCCCTGGGATTTCTCCCGGTTCTTCTCCTAAGTATCTCTGACTAGAAGAGAGAGAAGTAACAACAACGATACAGTAGAATGGGGTCGAGATATTGGGATACGGAAATCCCGAGTGAGCGTTTGAGAATGAAATGAACGTATAGTTCCGATATGCTTCTGGATAGTAGATGATGATTTTCGCGCTTCGTCAGGCTTTATTTCGCAGTCATCATCAATCCTAGGCTATGATCACATTAATACATCCCAAGCAAGGCGAATGGCATATCTCCGCTTACTGTATGTACGTCACTGTGATGAAAAAGAGTTTCTGATGTACCATTTCCAGCGCGATATACAGAACATGTTCATGTTGATTCCATATGCATATGTATGTGCCGCAGTCCAAGTTCCGAGTCCGAGGTCCGTGCGGTATGTACAGTGATGGGTATACTTCTACTATAGGTATTTACACTAATCATTCATAGAAATAGACATAAGCATAAACATAAGAATCATTCTTCAAAGTTCCAAAATCCAAGTCCTAATAATATCCTGGAGGCGCTCTCGACGACGACCTTTCCCTTTCCCTTCGACCCGACCTTTTCTCTTTCTTTGGCGGCAGAAGCTCACGGCCCGTATGCCAATCGTAAATTTTCGATCCAGTGTTACTGTACGCGAACGGCTCCTTCTCCCGTGTTTTTTCATGCCTCGACTTTGATCGGCCGCGTTTGCTACTCTTATGCTCATGACTCTCCGCCTCAGATGTGTACCCGTTGTACGCCACAGATCGAGAGCGTGGCTTCTCGATGGTAGAAGTCTTTCTATTCCTTTCCCGCCCTCTTCCTCGATCTTCGGTGACACCTGGATAGTGGGTAGTAGACGAAGACGGATAATGTGTAGTAGAGGTCTTCCTCTCCCTTCTTCGCTCTGGCACGGGATAGGTGTCTCTAACCACCGATTGCGACCTGCGTGAAGTCTCATGGCCTGGATAAGGCGGCGGAGGAGGAGAAGGTGTACGCGGTCTTCTACGCGCAAGCCGCATTTCCTCGATCGTTGGATGATAAACTTCCAGGTTATAGTGTCTAACAGCCGGTTTGGAGACATATGTATCGCTGAACATCCTCGGAAGTGGATCCCGATTGGCGTGAGTGCTAGGTACGTTTGGTCTGGTGTCGTAGGGGAAGTGATCCGCCGGTCTCGCAGTATTCAAGGTGTAGTTGGACGTGTACACGCCTCCTTGGGAATGTGAGAGTGTTCTTGGGCGAGGCTGGGTGTACTTCGACGTGTTGGGTGGAAGTGGCCCTGGTGCGGCGATGTATTGATGTCGTGTGGCAGCCTGAGGAGGTACTGATCTATCTCTTGCTGGAGCATGTATCTGCATATGTGGCATAGAGTGATCAGGAGAAATGAATTGTGAACGTGGAAGGT